AGCCCGTGGAACGCTCAGCCAACAAGCTCATCGCGGTGCCTGGCGGCTCGGAGGGTCCTGGCGGTGTCTTGGTCTGCTCCGAAGGCTGGATCACGTACAAGAACGAAGGCCACGCCCAGGTAGAATTGCTCTTTTTCGTTTGCAGCCTGGTAATGCCCGAGCTGGTAGATTCCCTGCCGCATCCCGCAGCGTTACCAGCGCACGGACACGAACGGCCCAGCAATTCGCGGCGACGTCTTGATTGTGGCGACGGCGACACACAAGCAGCGTGACCTCTTCTTCGTTATTGTGCAGTCGGAGCTCGGCGACTTGTACAAGGTGACGTTGACGTACAACGGCTCAGAGGTCTCGACCGTCAAGATCAAGGTCCGCACATTGATCCCTTCAACGCTGGTTTCACTTGAAACACATAGTTTTTCGACACGCTGCCGACAGCCAACGCGCTCTGCATCACGAAAACGGGGTTCCTCTTTTCTGCAAGCGAGTTCGCAACGCACTACTTGTGCCAGTTCCAGTCCATTGGCGACAACGATGACACTGCCGAATGCGTCTCGTTCCAGGAGTACTACCCGAGCTTCCACTTGCGTCGGCTGACGAACCTTGCGGTCGTTGACACGATCGACAGCCTCTCCCCGATTACGCAGCTCCTTGTGCGCATCTTGCTTTCTAAGTCCTACATGTCTCACGACAGCATCGGTAGGTGGACGATTTGGCGAACGAACACACACCGCAAATGTATGCGCTCTGCGGCCGCGGCAATCGGTCGAGTCTCCGAGTGCTTCGACACGGGCTCAGCGTCACGGAGGTGGCAGCGTCGCCTCTGCCAGGTGTCGCCAAGGCGGTGTGGTGCCTGAAGCAAAGCGAAGCCGACGCGACGCACAAGTACATTGTCGTGTCGTTTGAAGATGCCACGCTCGTCTTGGTATGTGATATTATATCTCGCTCGAATGGTGGCTGAAAGCAAAATGTAGGAAGTCGGCGACAGTGTTGAAGAGGTCACCAACACGGGTCTCTCCAAAGACGTTGGGTCGCTCATGGTCGTCGTGCTTGCGGACGACTCAATGGTGCAGATCCATCGCAACGGCTTCAACCACGTGCGCCAGTACCAACGCGTGACGCAGTTCAAGGCTCCCGGCAAGAAGGTTCATTTCTAATGACGATGCACAACCGAACTCAGTGGACACCCATAGGTCATCGAGCGCTGCACCGCGAACGGGCGGCAGGTGGTGCTGAGCATGGCGGGCGGCACGATCATCTATTTTGAGCTGAGCCCGACAGGCGAGCTGGTCGAGAAGGGTCGCACGGAGCTTCTTGGCGACATCTCGTCGCTCGACGTGGGCGAAGTGCCCGAGGGGCGGCAGCGCTTTCCGTTCCTCGCTGTCGGCAGCTACGATGGCAATGTGCGCATTCTAAACTTGGACCCAAACAACCTCTTTGCGGACCAGACGCTGCTCGCGATGCCGGGGTCGCATCCACATTCGTTGTGCTTCTCCCTCCTGCAGTTTGAGCCGCACGCGGACGCCAATGGTGGTCATGCGCTTTTTCTCTCGATCGGCCTCGAGAACGGCGTGATGCAGCAGTCGCGCATCGACCCGCTCACGGCCAAGGTCCTCGATACGCGCACGCGTTTCCTTGGCACCGAGCCCGTCAAGCTATTTCGCGTCCTCGTACAGGGCAAGCGCGCAGTCCTTGGTCTGAGCTCGCGCTGCTGGCTCTCGTACTTTCATGGCGCGCGGCGACAGCTCACACCGCTCTCGTGTGAGCCGCTGGCGTACGCGAGCGTATTTGTCTCGGAACAGTGCCCTGAAGGCATCGTGGCCGTCGCGCAGGACGAGCTCAAGATTCTGACGCTCGACGCCCTCGGCGACGTCTTCAACCAACAGACGATCACGCTCAAGTACACGCCGCGGAAAGCAATTGTGCATCCGCTCACGCGCCGACTTTTGATTCTGGAAGCCGACCACAATGCTCTCAACGATGCGCAAAACGGTGCGCGATTTGCTCTTGCACTGTGCTTTCTGATGCTGACACTTTCTATCTTGTAGCCAGCGTGGGCTTTGAAACCGCTGCGCCGCCTCGCCCCGTGAGCCCCGATGACGACGATGAAGAGGACGACTTGCAAGCCAACTTGCTATTCCTGCACCCGCCGATCCCGCAAGCCCCGGGTACATGCATCCCGCCTGCAAGTCGAAAGTTGGTACTGATGGAAACGTAGGCGCGTGGGTCTCGCAGCTCCGCATCGTGGACCCGACGTCGCTCGAGACGCTCGTGTGCCACCCATTTGACCAGAACGAGCGCGCGTTGAGCCTAAGCACCTGCGTCTTCCATGATCGTGGTGGCGAGACCTTTCTCATCGTCGGCACGGTCAAGAACATGCAGTTGCACGCCCCAACGAGCGAAGCGACAGGCTATCTGCGCGTCTACCGGCTCATGGACGCAACGCTCGTGCTCGTGCACGTCACCGAGCTCGACGGTATCCCGTATACGATGTGTGAGTTCCAGGGCCGGCTTCTTGTTTCGCTCGGCAAGACGTTGCGCATCTACGACCTCGGGAAGAAGAAGATGCTGCGCAAGTGCGAGAACCGGACGTTTCCCAGCATCGTCATTGGGCTCACGACCGCGGGGTCCCGAATCTACTGCTCGGACGCGCAAAGCTCGTTTCACTACGTGCGCTACCGCAGCGAAGAGAACCAGCTCGTACTGTTCGCTGATGACTTTGTCCCACGTGCGGTTACGGCATCGGCGCTTCTTGACTACGACACGATGGCCGGCGGCGACAAGTTTGGCAACATCTTTGTGACGCGGCTTCCGTCCGAGGTCTCGGACGAAGTCGAGAACCCTTCGGGAAACCGTATTCTCTGGGACGCGCACCACGGCGCGCCAAACAAGGTCGAGCAAGTGTGCCAGTTCCACGTCGGCGAGGCGATTACGAGCATGGTGCGCACGCGCCTCGTGCCCGTAGGCATGGAGGCGATCGTGTACACGACGGTCATGGGCCGCATTGGCGCGCTCATCCCATTCAGCTCGCGCGAGGACATTGACTTTGCGACGCATCTCGAGATGTACATGCGTCAGGAGGCGCCGCCACTCTGCGGCCGCGACCACCTGAGCTACCGGTCGTACTTTATTCCTGTGAAAGACGTGGCCGATGGTGATCTCTGCGACCAGTTTGGCGCGCTGCCGAATGACAAGCAGCTCAAGGTTGCGCAGGACCTCGACCGCACGCCGCTCGAAGTGCTCAAGAAGCTCGAAGACATTCGCAACCGCCTGCTCTAGGTCGATAATGACACAACGAGCGTGTATTTGCATATCAATCAATGGGTACAGTCTTACGTGCGACCAGAGTACTTGACTGTGATTTGGGAGTGCAACAGTGTGAACAATAGCGGCACCTATGAATCATACCTGCCGGCGTGGGAGGGTAGGGCTGGTGGTCTTTCGACAAAGTACAATACTGCAGCAGTAAAAGATAAATACAGTAGTTGTAGGCAGAGTTGTAGGCCTCGTTTGGTGCGCAATCAATATGTCATCGCGTTGTGTCTGATTGCGCATTTATTAGCGACAGAAAACTGAGCTAACAGCGTAATGCTCGTACTAGTAGTTTAACAAGGTTTAGGCGGCAATCGTGATCTCGAAAGCTCCGTACGTCGATGGAGCACCGCTTGTTGGCATTTTAGCGTCGTCGCAACTCGTTGGGCTTACCGCGGGCGAGGAGGTGGTTTGGGTAGTGTGTACCGCGTCTTTGATAGGGGAAAGCAGCGGGGTAGCTTGTAACTTGGCGTCTACGCGGTCCTGGATGGTGGAGGCGGTTGCTTCGAGGCCCCACAGCGTCCACTCATTCTGTTTGTGCTCGAGGATGCGACCCGTGATAACGTACCGGAGAAACATGAGCGCAAGCAGAAATGTGAGCAGAAGAAGCATCGAGTGCAGCACTGCGTGGAGACGGACGTACTCAAAGACGAGAGCGCACGTGAGGAGCGGCACAAAGTAGTAAAATACATTGGCAGTCGCCGCCCGGCGGTCGCATGCAAGGCGATGTTGCTCCGCGAACGCTGTTTCTTCTGTCGCGTCGGTCGTGTCGATAGGGAACTTGTCGTAGAAGCCGCTTGGCAGCACGTCAAAGAGGCTCGCCCAGAGAATTGCCATGATGAACCAGAAGACGAGCATTTCTCGGCGCGGGGTCGAGTGCGTCGGTGGGCTTTTGCAGAGAATTGGAAGTGACAAAGTGTAGAGGTGATCGAACCTTTCGCCTCGTTCTCACACAAACGCCTTATCCCACAGAGAGCCATTCCATTCCACATGTCACGACAGGGCGATCTTAAATTTTAGTTCCAGGTGCTTCATCTCGAACGAATAAAAAGGTATTGACGAGCCCCAAAATTTAGCTGCATATTTCAGACATGCCGGGCAGGCACACACGTCAGCATCTTCCTTCGTTTGGTCATTGCACCAGTCATCGACGACTGACGACAGTCCGATAATGTGGGGGTCATTTGCCAAAACCTTGAGCAAGGAGAAATGAAAATGAGTATTATGGTTCAAATCATGCTTGCTTGTGCGAAACAACACGGAGCATATAGATGTACAGGACCAGTGGCGAACAATCGTCAGCTGCATACTAGTACCGGTACGTGCAAGTCGAAACAAGTCCTTGGCTTTGAGTAGTCCGTCTCATAACAGCCTACTCATTGTAGAAATCCCAAGCGCAAAATCAGCTGCACGTTTCGCTTCTTGTCTGGATATTAATTAATATTGTGTCCCAACCGTGCCCAGGGCTGCTACACCATGATGACACAGCAATGCACGAGCTCCATTTGCTGGGCATATTGAGGACTGTTATATAAGCAGCGCATGCCAACGCGTTACGTTGTGAAATCTCTGGGCCCTCTGTTGCACTGCACCAAGACTACATTGCGAATAGTAGAGTGCCTGGAGTTTAACCTAGCCGCGCTGCGGCTAAACTCGTCGCGCTGGTTGAACGTTACGCATTTAGGATCTTTGGGTTCTACACTTGCCAAACGACGGAGAAGTAGCGATGGATGGTACGAGGGCTTCGCCTCCGATCGCATCTCATATATACGTAGAGCGGATCAAGCGTCTGGCGCCAAGCATCACAATCAGGTACGGCTGCTAACATTGGTGTCGAGATTCTCACGGCCGGCAGCGAGTGCCCCTCGGAGGTCTTTTGCACCCGTTTCTCACCGGACGGTTCTCTCCTCGCCGCAGGCTGTGGTGACGGCGCCATTCGCGTACGCTCCGGCGTCGATATCGCGTGGGCTAAGGAAACGTAGATTTTCAATGTCGCCAATGGAGCGCTTGCATACACGCTAATGCAACCGCACCACAACTACGGCTTTGGCATGCCGTGCACTGCCCTGCGCTTTCGCCCGCTCACGAGCAGCTCCAAGACGAAGAACGTGCTTCTCGCCGTGAGTACGCCAAAACTTATTTTGCTTTCTCGCATCGAAATCTTGGTATCACATATCCATAGATTCGAACGGGTCGGTCGAGCACTGGCACATTACGTCTGGCAAGTGCTTGCACGCGATCACGGACGAGCAAAACCAGTTGTATGCGCTCGACTACCGCCCCGACGGCGCCATGTTTGCGACGTCCGGCAAAGACCACACGGTGCGGCGACGACGACTCATCGGACGGGCTGAAATTCCTGGATCTGCAGATCCGTGTGTATGACGAAGCGACCAAGACGGAAGTGCTGAGCATGAAAGGCGGGTGCGTCACCACCCCGAGATTGTATGCCACTCAAGCCTCAAACTAGTCATGGCACGCTTACGGCCGGCCACAGCAACCGCGTCTTCTCCGTCAAGTTTCATCCCGTTGATGAGAATACCATTGTTTCGGGGGGCTGGGACAACACAGTGCAGATCTGGGACACCCGCGCGGGGCACTCTGTGCGAGGCATCTATGGTCCACACATCGCCGGTGCGTGTTTTCATTTTTCGACACCGGATGACAGCGATACCTACCTAGGCGACGCCATCGATATCAACGCCAAAAATGAAATTCTCACAGGCTCATGGCGCCCCGAAAACCCCCTTGAGCTCTGGGACTATGGAAGCGGGAAACGGTTCGCGGCGATTCCGTGGAACCAAAGTGCGCTCAAAGGCGAGCCGTGCTTCCTATACGCCGCGCAGTTTTCCAAAGATCCCCGTAGCCGCCTTATCGCTGCGGGCGGCAGCGGTTCGAATGAAGGCAAGGTGTTTGACCACGACGTCAACAACAAGGTATTCACTTTTGTACGACAGCAGTATGTATATTGCAACACGGGTAGCTCGTGGGCACGGTCGCAGGGCTCAGCCGAGGTGTCTTCACATTGGACTTTGGCCCATCTGGCGACAAACTTGCCCTCGCCGGCGCCGACGCAGCGATTCGTATCATTGATATTTATGACTTCGTGCCGGGCGAGAAGGGCCGGGAACGCCCCGTGACACCGTCGATCAAGTACACAACAACAAAAACGAGGAATCACAACTATGACAAATGCAACGATAGGAATGCACCACTCACGCCGTCGCTTGATGCAGCTCCGACGGGGCTACGGTCGCCCAAGGCAACACGCGGCCCACCGCCGGCCGCCAATGTGCTCGGTGTGCACAAGTAGGAATATACGTCGATCGGTACGCTGCTCTGTACAAACAAGTAATCAATCAATAAACAAACATCGACGACTGCACGGGTGCTCATCCGTATACTTATTTTAAAGCATCATGGTTACGCCACGACGCAAGATCGAGTGACGTCACATCGTCGGAAGGAGCGACCACACTTTGCAGGTACGTGGCTAGATGCAAGAGCTCCGCGTCCCGCGTCGCAGCCTCCTACATAAGGAAGAAATGCGCGCATAAGTGGTAAGACAGGCATGTGTCGTACGTCAGTGCAGTCGTAGCGTGCAATTGGAATACCATTGCGCGGGTTCAAGTTGAAGTTGTGAGGCAGATCGTCGACATGTACCGTGTTGCGCGCGTGCCACACACCGGGAAAGTGGCTCCATATGATCTCAAGCGCCTTGACTTTGCTCTTGCGCTTCTTTGTCTTTGAATCGTCTATCGATTGGTAGCTGAACATGTTTGTCTTGTCCAGGATAAAGTTGATGCGGTAGTCTACCACTGTGTTTCCGCTAATGAAAACAAATAGGATGTCATGTACCTGGTGTCGTGAGCATGCCGAGCTCGGTGAGCTTAATCTCGATCCACTTCCACGACGTCTGCGACCAAATACACACGTCGAAATGCGACCATACAGCGCTCAAGAATGTGTGCATATACGGCCGCATGAATCGACTGCTCGGAATCCCATTGTCTTTTGTCGCACTACGGATTTAATTTCTTGCGCATACGCTGAATTGCAGCGATGATGTACCTTATGTCCATGAGTGTATGATCGAGGTCGAGTACGAGCAGTTTCTTGGACGGACGGGGCGGGTGCATCACATGGATATGTGTCATGGCAATCGAGCGCGCGAGGGCGAGGTTGTTCTCTTTCGCCTACGACACCCGTAGCATTCCTTTTCTTGCAAGCTCCGAGCCTACGCTGTGCCATTGTGCCGAGTTTTGCGCGAACGCGCAGTTAAAGTCGGAAAAAACGGGCGGCAGTGCACCCGCCGGAAGGGCATCTGGGTCCACAAGCACTTCGCTATCCTTGGTACCGATGAGCATGAATTTTTGCGGGTGCTTGAGAGCCATGTCGCCAAGGCGCACGTTGTCGCTAGCTATGTCAATACCTCCGTGATCATCATGCAGTGCGGGATACACCATCTACATACCTGGCTTTCCACGGACGTTTAAACCGACGAGCTTCTGCCGCGCGGGCTGGATGCCCGTGATGGCTTGGATGCGCAACTTGACATCAAGGATCGTCATCGACGGCCCCACATCCAGGCGTATCTCTTCCTTCTTCCACTTGCCCACAAGCGCGATGGGGGCCGCCTTGGCCTCCTCGTCTGCCATCGCTGTTGTGAGAACGTTTGGTCGTAAACTTCACTCTATTTATTCAATTAGAAATAGTGTCAAATAGGGTTCATTCCGAAATCTGGCAAGTCAATACCAGCACTACTGTAGACATTATAGTACTGTACTTGTGCACACAGTGCGTAGACGATAAGGGTTTATTACACGTATCTGTTGCGGCCTGTCGACGACAAGGCTTATCGACGATGTATCAGAGCGAGTGGCATTGATAGCGATAGGTATATATATACGACTACAGGATGTGCTTGTGGTCCGGGTGCTGCGCCTTCCACGATGCCTTACTCGTCAAAAGCACCTTGGAGTTGGCATCCCAAGACTTCATGCCGCGCGTGATGGCGAGGTCCACTTGCGACCAGTTGTTCCGTAGGTCTGGAAGTGTACACACATGACCAACCTTTGGTTGTCCGCAGCGCCCGCATTTGTATGACTTGCGGTTCCCTGCCTCTTCCGCCGCCGCGTTTTCTTCGCGGAGGTTCAACGCGATCTGGGCCATGTCCATGGAGAGGCCCGTGGAGCGGTTGCTAACGCGCTGCTTTCGCGGTGGCGGTGGCTTCTTTTCGTCCATGCTCAGTAGGTCTGTGAACGACGCGGCGGCTATGCCATGGTTGTCGAAACTCCACTACGGGATATCGGACTGAGCGTGTGGTACCTGGATTGTGCTGGAACTGGCGAAGCTGCTGCGCGTGATGGAGCAAGTTGTCGGGATTGCTCAAATGGCGTTCGTGGCGGATTTTGTGCTTCAGGTCCATGACGTTCTCTTGCAGTTGATGTGCGTGGAACGTCTGTGCAAGCTCTACGCGGGATGTAAATACGTTGTGTATCGTCGCGGCGACGGTCGTACCTGTGTGCTGTTGCACGGGCTCATTCGCAGGCAGGAAGTCGCGCAAGATATTTTCGACTTCAGCGTCATCGACAAAGCTCATGCCCGCCCAGCTTCCGTGTGGGTTGCTAGGCTGCGAAAATGGCATGGGTTCCGGCTACACACGACACCGTTTAGCGAAGGCAAGCAGCACAAACATCATGCACGTACGATCGTAAGCTCTATGTTTCCGTGAGAGGTTGGCTCCGGGTGCAGCGGCGGCATATCGCTGATGGAGAAAATCCCTGTCGGCGGCGCAAACGCCGGTGGCGGCACAAAGTGGTCGAAGAAGTCAGGGTTGGACTTGTGGCGCTTGTGACCGCTGGGACGCGAGTAGGCGGCACGGTCGCTGGCTGCATTGCCGTCGGGCAGCATGTTGAAGTCTAGGTTGAGCCCTGCGAACAGATTGTCTCCCATCGCGGCGTCGTCTTTGCCGTCGTCGGCCGTGGCCAAAATGCTTAAAATGCTGAATCCACGCCGAATAATCGGGGCGACGCGTATCCGGATAGTTCAGTCGACTTCTCAACTGAAGACTACTGGCGATCGACTAACTAGATAATCACTGCTATCAAAAGCAAGATGGCTGAAATCCCGCGAGCAGCTTGAGACAAACCAAGAGCCCTCGCTCTTGATGCGATGATACGATGCTGCCAGCGCTACGATATTGAGCCGTTGGCAACAGCTCAGCGGTGCCTTCCGCGCGTTGTTCTCCATATTTCATTCCGATCAGCACCATCCTCACGCCACAGCCACAACTGCAAAGTTTTTGTAGTATTGCCGTCGCCGTCTGGTCGCATCTCACTTAGCGTATAAGATAAATATGTGATATGTAATACCCTTGATAATGGTCACGTCCACAACGAGTTTACACCATGGAGTTTACACCCACTGGTTTACACCATGGAGCCGCAAGATTTTTCAAGTTAGTCGATTGCCGATGTTCAGTCGGTCGAACGAGACCATACGAGACTTCGAAAAAAGATCTGGCGGCCGCGAGATGCACAGTGCGATCGTGACGACCGAGAAAGGTCACGTGCTCCTCGCGCGCTACTTCCGCGCGACGACGACCGAGGGAAAGCGTGCGTATGAGCAAGCACTCTTCGCTGCTGTGCAGTGGCCCGCGCTCGCGACAACTGAGTCGGCTACCGGCGACGCAGTCTTCTTCGCCGTGTGCCACAACCACTATGTTGTGTACCGCAAACACGGCGACCTCGTGTGGTTCCTAGCCGGTGGCCTGGAGTATGACGAGCTTACTCGTTCGTATCGAATCATTATATGATCGCGCGGGTTCATGTCGATGTCCAACTACTGTAGTGCACGACACACTCGTCACCATCCAAGCTGTCGCCGCAGCTCACATGGAGAAGCGTTGCACGGAAGCGCTTTTTCTCGCTAATCACTCAAAGATTGTTGTCGCGCTTGACGATATGATTCACGAGGTAGCGTGCGACGTTTGAAACGTGATGAGTATAAAGAAGATTGCTACTAGGGTCATCTCGACGTGACGGAGGTGCAAAGTGTGCTGCAGATGACGAAGCTAAAGCCATATCCTACCAAGGTGTGACTGCGCACGAATTACGTGTATATATATATCAGTTCGCTACTACTCTAATCACAATGAAAGATCATGTATGCCGGGATGTAAGTGGGGTTTTTCTATGCGTCGTGGCCCGGGTACTGCGCAACCCATTTCGACTTGACCGTGAGTATGCGCCACTCGTTCGTATATGACGACGATGTCTCGCTTTGGCACGACGAGTCCATCATGCTCTTGATTGACGTGCAAATGTGCCCGCTCTTGGGCTGCCCGCACTGCCGGCACTTGTACTCCTACATTGGCATGAGTGCGAAAACAGAGCTTCATTGAAGACGCACCCGCTTCTCCCGACGCTCGCTGCCGTCAGTTGTGCTGCTGCTGGGCGAATTGGGCACCGATCGGATATTGACGGCCTCAAAAGTCGAGGATAAACCAGAGCTCAAGGCTGGGCTGGCAGGCATCGGTGGCTGCATGTGACCCATGTCGCCACCAGTGTACATCATACTCGGGTACAAGTTGAACTAGTGGAATATCGTGAGGGGATATTGTCATGTGCATGAGAGTAATACCATTGGGGGAGGCGCCATGGACATGCCCATTTGAAGTGGCGACATCGAACCCATGGCCATCGAGTTGTGGACCGGCGATGTGGGCGGAAAGCCCATGGTAGCGCCACCCGCGAGAGGCGAACCTGGGAAGAAACCCGGGTTGGGCTGCTGAAGCATCTGCGCAAAGTTGGACGAGAGGTGCGAGAGGTCAACCGAGTTGTTGTAGACGTGGCGGTGGCCGTGGTTTGGCGGCGCCATAATTGGGAGGAGCTCTGGAATCGGGTTTGGCTCCATGTCGTCTTCTTCCTGCTTCAGCGGCGTGTACGGAATTGGCTCCGGAATTTCCGTCGGCACGAGAAGCACAGGAGGCATCGAGAGGTCGAGCCCGAGGCCTTTAATCGTTTCAGTTTTGGGCGCGGGTGTCACAAATGTCGTGGTCGTCGCCGCAGCGCGCGGAGAGTAGAAGTCTTGCATGAAGTCGTCGACCTGGTTGTTTACGGCGGCCATGTCGATCTTGTCTTCAGGTGGCCGAGGGTAGAAGTCGAGGTTCTGCGATCTCCGCTTTTGGAAGCTGATGCTAGGCTTTCGCTTCAACACATGCGGTCGCGTAGCGTGCGACTTGGCTTGTGAGGGCGGAGGCGGCTTGACCTCGACGACGATGGGCTCATCGAGGAAGGGGTCATCGTTGTATGAGATGCCACCACCAGATATGTCGAGGAGATCCGAGAACGTGAGGTTACTTCCCATCTCATTGAGAGCGTCTGCGCTGGGGCCTGTCGTTGCCATCGCCACTTCCTGGGAATGGCGAGAGCAAGAGCGAAATGGTCATCCGGATGTTTGCCTCGAAGGCTTCGGATACAAAGATTGAATCACTTTCGAGGACGCATCCGGATAAATTGGGCCAATCAGCAGCGAGTCTCAACCCACCCACAACATGCACAACTCGGCAGCCTGAGGAGCCAGGCTGAACGACATTCACGTCGACTACTACATGTATCACGGATAGCACCAGGATGCGTCAATGGCATCGCGAGTAATATACCCGCACGATTGTTAGACAGACTTTTGCAACCGTGGGCTGTTGACGGGAGCAGTCTATTGCTCCTCAGCTGGACGACGTGAATAAACTGATGCAGCGCTTGCGGATCGCAAAGAAAAGCCATACCAGAAGCGACTTGGGTGGCCGACTCGGCACAATAATGATTAAATTTGGTGTCTACAGGTTTACTAACTTGGCTGCAACTTTCTCCTTCGATCGGAAACGTTCTACTACACTGCAACGAACGAGTGCATGGGCAACGCTCAGCACGACCGCGACCGCTTTCCAATGGGCGGTTGCGTTGGCTCGGGGAGGCTGCGCTTCGTGGCTGCGTCTTCTGCGACGAACGGTGACGACGGCGATGTGGTGCGAACGACTACTGCGTTAAGTTCACACGGAAACCGCTTCGCGTCTTGTGACTTGAGGGGCACGAGCGTCACATGCACAATCGTGCTGAGCGTGTCGCCGTCCAATACAGCGTCCATGACGTTGGGTGTGCTCAGGAGTGCGTCGGGTAGTACAACCGCTGTGTTGATGCCTCGGATTGCAAAGCTACCGTTAACTTCCTTTGGGAATTGGTGGCGGCACGTCGGGCAGGTGCTGCGAAGCTCCAGCCAAGGCGCAAGACAGGCTTCGTGGAATATGTGACCGCAAGACGCGCGCACAGCTACGCCATTCTCGAGCTTCTGCATGCAGACAGTACAATCGCCGTCCGAAGCGAGTGGTGTGATCTGCTCGAGACGCATCGCTTTTTTGGCGGGCGTACTGTGCTTGAGGTAGGGCACAATGTAGCGCGTGATAAAGGTGACCCACGCTGGCGTGTGCAGCATCGCGACGATTTCCGAGAGACGTGAGGCTGCCGGCACCGTGTACTTGAGGCTCATGCGCACGTGCAGCGAGGCCATGTCGTTTGCGAGATACGTTGGAAGACCAAGAATAATGCTACGACAATGGACCCGCGACGAGTGGAAGCTCACAAGAAAGAAGGCATGCGACATGTGCAACGGCCTGTCTGGCCGGTCTGACTCGTGTCTTTACAAGTGGCATGTATGCTCCCCAGTGTTGCTACGGGCAAAGAGTATCTCCACGGTGCTGCTCTTGTTGTTGTTGTAGGGACGGGGTTGGGTGGATCGAAGTGTCGGAGCCAAATTGCCGCTTGCCAGTGGTGCGTGGACGGAATGTGCGAAATGCCATACCTCGTGCCACTCTGCGCGTCCGGCGCCTGCACCTTGTTTGCTTGTGCGAAGGGACGTCCTTGAGTCCTGTCCTTGTTTGATGTAAACGTATCGTGCGCGACATGCATTCTATACATTGTGGTCGCCCCAGGCGTGCGTTGGCGTCACCACTGCGTGAGTGTGTACAGTGTAATGACTCAGCGTGACAAACGTGAATTTCACATTTCCCACAGTGATTTTGGTTGAAATAAGGAGGTGGGAAACCCAACGTTGATACTTGTATCATTCACAGCGTTGTGAAGCCTACTGCGAGCCAGCTTTGCGAGCCAAACGCGGGGTTGAGAACGGAATCAAACTAATAGTGCTGGAGATCGTAGAACGAGCAGTCCTTGAAGCCGCAGGACTCAGACGACGCTCAGTGGGTGTACTGGTGGTTTACGTGAGCACAGATCGAAGTGGGCAAGTACCGGTAAGCTCGTTGGGCACTGTGCTGAGTGAATATGTCCCGACCGGAGCTCTCGCCTGGGTGCTGTTGGTTGTTCAAGTGAGTCTATTTAGATATAATTTACACTGAACTGTTTTTGGGGGTGGTGGACTTTCGATTCAGAGCGTGTTGTGCTAGACGGCAGCAGCGGCAAGGCTTAGCCGTGTTGAAGGCGAGGCGTATGGATGGCGCAAGCCGGGACGAAGTGGTCACGAAGCCAGGCATCGTGGCGCAGGGCGTTCATTATTTGGAAGAGGCACATCGCTTGGGTATTCAGCATCACGATGAAGATGCATCTTGGTCAAGAACGCGGCGCGGGTGGCGGCCGCTTCACGACGGGGTTGAAGCGCCATAGGACGCGAGTGAAACCGATGTGACCTCTCGTGCGGAAACTCTTCGATGCGACCTCTCAGATCGAGCGCCAGCCAGTCAAGCAGCAACTGGTGCCGATGGAACAATAGCTAGCTCGCAGTACTCACAAATGTTAATGTCACGCATTTTGGATTTCCCCGGCTTGTTGGTAACTCGCCCGCCGCCACCGTACACTCAACGGCATCCCCGTTCCACCAGACGGGAGCCTCGGGACACGGTCGTTTCGGGTGAGCCAGACAGTGTGCAGCACACAGACGCGTAGGATCGGCCCCATCACGTCGACCGCGCGTCGGCGGTAGCGTTGGGCCGTCACCGGCGGTTCAAACAAGAGTGCGTGCAGCGTCGTGGGGAGCTCCAGTTCCAGCGCATCGACGAGAGGCCTAAAGACGGGCCAGGCTGCATTGAAAAATTCGCAGCGGAGCAGTAAGTGCTCGTACGTATTGGGTGCACTGCAGCTCGGGCATCCTTGAGTGTCTTCTCCCAGGAAGTCGAGCCGGGTGCGGACAGCGACAGCGCCCAGCACGATGCGGTACATGAAGTCCGCGAAGCGCGGCAGGATGTGGTCGGGCTGACGGTACTCTGCGGCAGCGGCCACCGCAGCGGGCATCATGTAGTGATCGTCGGGGAGCTGGAGATACCGCGTGGGAAGGAAGCAGGTGGGCGCGGCGTCGCGGCGTCGGTGTCCTGCGCCCCGCAACGTTGCCGTTGCCAGCGGCGTGATCTGGCCAAAATTCGCCATTCCGGCGCGGCGTCCACGTCGCGTTCCGGCACTTGGTCGAGGCAGGTAGTGGCTTGCGTCATCGCCTGGAGCCAGACCACCGTGGGTGGGCGTACAGGAGGCTCCCTATCAGAGCATCGGGCGCGGACCAGACGTGTGAAGGCGTCGAAAGACTGGCTGGCCGCGCGTATGTGCAAGACGTGCGCGAAACCGGCGCGAGCCAAATTGCGGGCGTATTGCGTCGCGTAACTCGATGTCAAGGGGCGCAGTGCGGCGGCACACGGGAGGAACGCGTTGTGCCACAATGGTTGGTCGTGCCTGGGTACTGTTAGTACTGTCGTCGCAAACCAAGTCGTGCGATTATATACGACAGATGATGTGATACACGACAAACGTTAACATAAATATACTTCAATCGACATATCGGTCGGTTGTGCTACTTGCGACTTGCTTGGTACATGCGGCTCAGACGACGCGCGGATGCTTCGTGTTGACAGCGACATCGCCGTTTTTACGCTTTGCGACGCGGGCTTCTATGTGCTGTGCCAGCGTGCATTGTGGCACAGCGACCGCGTTGAGCTCGCAAGGAAATGACTGTTGCTCCAAAAGATGCGCGACTGGGACGAGCGACACGTGTACAATGGCCTTGACCGTCTTTCCGCTCAGATCAAATGCCTGCAGGGCCGTGGGGGTGATCGCATCATCGACGTCTTCAACAATGAGTGCCGTGTTGATGCCGTGAATCGCATACCGCCCCGAGAACTCGTTCTGGAGCCGATGACGGCAGGTCGGACAAGTGCTGCGCATGCGCAACCAAGCGTCGATGCAGTTCGCGTGGAAAAGGTGCCCGCACGGCAGCTTCACAGCATCGTTCATAACGCCCATGCAAATGACACACTCGTCGTCGCAAGCGCATCTCACGTTTTCGAGGCTGGCGAGGACCTCCTTGTTGACGGGCGTCGACGTTTTGAGATATGGCACGACATACCGAATCATAAAGTTGACCCATGCTGCGCTGCGGAAAAGACCGAGAACGTCCCGGACCGTCACATCCTCGGGCGCGGGGTATCGCACATTCACGCGCACGTTGAGACCGTTGGGCGGCCCGCTTGCCACGTCCTTCTTCATCATGACACTGCAGATCTTAAACTGAAATTTACATGGTTTTGCTTCTCTACTGGAGTTTTGTATGCAGCCCAATCCACCTCGTCGAGAACTTTTTTACTTTCAGCCGGCTTCGAATTTTGGATCCACTTCCTTTTTGTAAATGAAAAATCGAACGCGTCGCGTGCAGCTGTCGGTCGAGTGGGGCAGGTTCGAAACGGCATGGTCGCTACCCATGCCCAATACTATAAGTATAGTACAATACCACGCCCCAATGCCGGGCAGCTATGCCGGGCTTGATGCGACAGCATCGACCAGAACCGACCTCCTTTTTGTGAGGATGCGCATTCCCGGGTGCGCTCTCGTGGCAATTAGAGAGATTTCGGAGCATCTCACCACGGGCGACGTTATCTGCCGCAGTTAATTTTATTTTCTAGATTGCAGTCGTGTTGCAGAGCATGGCGACTGGGAAAGACCACGGATGAATTGGGATGAATTGCGCTCAAGAGATGAGTTTTGGGTGAATTCCCCACAGTACTTGTGTATTGAGTGGGGATTGGCGTAAAATGAATTTATATTGACCAATCATTTGCGATGTCGAGAACGCCTCCGCGATTGGCACGATTGCTTCGTGGACATTCCTTGCCGCCACCATGTTGCGCTCCATCGCCTGCGGTCTCAGCCGTGCTGCCCGCCCAGCGCGTCGTCACTTCTCGTCGGACCTCAACTTGCCCGACATCATTATCACGCGGGACGCTGTGAAGGTACATGTACTATCGACGCGCGGTAGGCTAATGCAGCGAAGCAATTGAATAAGTTAAACGCGACGGCGAACCCGAAGCAGTACCTGCGCGTGGCCGTTGAAGGAGGTGGCTGCTCCGGCTTCCAGTACGTCTTGACTTTGGAGCACGGCACACGAGGTACTTTGCTTTATCATATCCCTGCGAGTTGGTTCTCAATTTGCGTGGGTAGAGGAAGACGACCAGGCATTCGAGAAGGATGGCGCCGAGGTTGTCGTCGACGCCACATCTATGGAGTTTCTCAAAGGCAAGATGCTTCGACTCAGATTACAAGCCTAGCTCAATTACTACACCTCTAGGCAGCACGGTGGATTTCGTGCAGGAGCTCATTCGCAGCTCGTTCTCTGTCATCAATAACCCGAACGCTGTCAGTGGCTGTGGTTGCGGCACATCGTTCGAACTCAAGGAGTAATAGGAAGACTGCATTTTTCTGTGTACTACGTAGTAATTGCGTTTGTGCATTTTACTCCCAGAGTACCAGACACCCGTTCTTATCACAGGATGCGAGGAGACGACCGTCAGGACTCCACATGCAGCTTACAACCGCACCCGTGTGTGTATCCTTGTTCTCGCGCCACACTTTCTGCGAGAGCGCGTCCCAGATAAGCACCGCCCTAATATTAGTCAGCGTTTGATATGTTCAAAGCGGAAATCGAGCGAGGATTACCCGGACGTACTGCCGGCAGCGAGATACGCTCCATCCGGCGTCAGCGACGCCTTCGACCAGTTGAAGCCGCAGATGTAGTTTGGAGCGGTGTATGTCCCGAGCTCACCATACGTTCTGGCATCGAGAAGCTTGAGGGCATTGTCGCGGGAGTTGGTGAGCAGTTTGTAGCCATCCTACATATTGGGACGTTCTGGGGCAGCCATTGATATAGAACGGTACGCTGGCATAGGACACGGACGTAATTTGATCGCTGTGCACGTCGCTGAGCTCCCGAATGGGTGCCTTTGTGCGGGCATCCCAGAATCGCACGGCGCCGTCTTGGTGCGCACTTGCAAACTGTCCGCCAACGCCAACGGCTATGTCGTTGCAAGTCGACCTGCACAAGCTGATGTAAGGAACTCTTCAAGTCCCGAGGAACGCACCGGCAGCTAAAGCTTTTAAGGTTCCGGCCGCTCACAACGTCCCAGACACGAATCGATCGGTCGGCCCCGCCCGTCAAGACTTCGTTGGCTCGATCGAGGAGGAACTCGGCGGCGTAAACTTTTCCCTAGTATACCCCATGGATTCAATGGTATCGCAAGATGGACGTACTTTGTGTCCAAGCAACGTGTGAGCAATGCGTCCCGTGCCTACGCGCCAAACTTGGCAGATGCGATCGCAGCCAGTGCCTACAACGACGTCAAGTGATCACGGTTGCCTCGGGGTCGTGTACCGAGCACGAGCTCGCCGTCCTCAGATACACGGACGCAGATGAGCGGTTGGGACATGCCAAGACCGCGGTAATCAGCCTTTGCTTGGCACGAGTGGGCGTCCCACGCGCGCACGGTACCATCGCTGCTGGCGGAGAAGACGACCTTCCCGGATCCGTTGAAGCAAACGCTGTTGACTTCGGTCGCGTGTGCACGGATGCTTTTTCCATGCTGAAGTGAGACGAGGCTCGAAAGCCCTCCGCCCGCTGGAAGCTCGTCGCGCCGCATAGCCTCCTGTCGCAAGGGCGCCGGCTTTAGCTCCTACACGCCATCAACGTCACAAAACTGGCTACTAGTATGTTTCGGAGCGGGCACCGGTTCTTGCAACATGATCTCCGCCATCATCTTGCTTTTCTGGACGAGCACCAACTCGAGCTCGCGCACGCGGCGGCGAAATTCTTCGGCTTCTTGCTCCGCAAGCTCAGCGCGAACGCGCTGCCGGTTAAGCTCCTCGCTACGCACAACACGTTGAGCTTCGTAGATGGAGGCGAGTGAGGTATACCGTAGTACGTGCATCTCCTTCTCCATCTCTTTGCCCGTTGAATCCATGTCATAGATCTTGCCCTGAAGCTGAAGGAGCTGCTCGTCCTTCAGCGCGACCGTCCGTGTTGGCGACGCCAGCGGCACCGCCTGGAGCTGATGTAGCTTCTGGTTTTGCGAGGTGACATACTGCAGCTGCGCCATCATTTGCTGGTACGATGCGATAAGAGCTGCGAAAGAGTCTGTCTCGCGCTGGTTGCGCTGGTTCAGGCGTGCCGCCATGGCCGCGAGTCCAGCGCGATCTTCTGATCGCATCCTGCGCACAAAATTGGCTTCCGAAGGAATTGGTGTTCAGGCAAGAAGCTCTAAACGCACCCAAATACGCTGAACACAGACACCAGTCATCGTCGCTATGGCCATTTAAAATCGACTATTTTCCAACTGCTTGATGCATTGCATCTGAATTAATGCAAACTATCAAACTTGTACGAGGTGGGTCGCAGTCAGGGTCGCAGCAAGGGCGCAGAGAAGAAACATGTTGGGTGTATTGAGAATCGCATCTACCCAGTTTCCGGATAAAGTGAGTTACGGCGAGAGCGTCCTCCCGCCGATTGTGCTTGTGCTGCAACGCCAAATCTCCGCGAGCGTAGAGCTCTGTAGGTATGGTCGTCGCCGTGCCAATTGGGCGTCCCAGTTGTCTTGGCACATTCGTTTTGTTATACCGTCGGACGATGCACGGACGTGGCTGCGTGGTGTCTTCTCTAGGTGGTTGCGTGTGGACGAAACGCGAGAGGCCAACCGCATCTGCACGCCGATGTCGTTGGGATGCAGCGATTGAGCGCCTATTAATAATTGCAGCCAACATCGTCGATACAATAGGATGCGTCTCTATTGTCAAGTCGCGTTCGCATCATCTCGAGTAGCGGCTACTGCTTCGTCGGTGCGCTGGCGGTGATTCGCTACGTCGCCGCTTGCGTTCCTTGCTTCGGCGTCGATGGTCCTTGTTCTTGTGCTCCTTCTTCGGCTTCTTTTCTTTCTTGCGCGCCTTCAGCTCATCTTGCAGCAGATGCAACAGACGCTGTGGGTCAGGGGTTGCTGCTGTTGTCGCCATTTCACTGAGGCCGCGACCGAGACCACGGAGCTTCTCAGTTGCCATGGCATGGACTGGGTTCAACGAGAGCACCTTCTGCAAATCTGACCGCGCCGCATCCGAATGTTTTTCGTGCAAATAAAGCAAGGCACGGGCGTAGTATGTTTCGCCGTCGTCTGGATCCATCTCGATCGCAGATGAGTACTCGGCAATGGCTTCAGTAACCTTGCCGTCGCGCCGCAGTGAGTTTGCTTGCTTTCGCCGGTCGGTAGCCCACATGCGCATCTACGCCTGCTTGCTCATCACACGACGCTGCCCCTCTGGACACTGACCTGTTGGACGCTGAGCGACTTGTACGAAAGCGCATCGTCCGAGTAGAGGGGCGGTCGCACAATGTACGAGGTCACAGCCGGGACTTGAAACGTCTGGAGCATCCCATCAAATGCGTATAGGTTGTGGCGCGTCGGATCCCGAACCAGACTATCGTTGAAGGCAGTCGGGCCGGGTGTGTGCTGTGGTGTGAACGGCGTCGAAGGAAACGTGAAGCCGCCAAATTTACACCCTGGTGTCCACAGCTACAGTATAGCACAATAGTTTTCGAGACTCAGCAATGAGTCGCGGTACCATGCATGCTGCGTCGTCGGGGAACCAAGCTTTCGGCTCATGGATGCAAACAAGTCCTTCCTAGCGCGAAGCGATCAACTATAATGACGATGATCCTCGCAATTACCGTTGGATCCACTGCGACTTGTAAGACAATGAGCTGCGCGTCAGCGGCCACGTGCAGCGCGTCTATCCTGGCGAAATGGTGAGTTGGACGCGAAAGAGAAACGCAGCCGAACCGCAGTCGCAACGAGAATGGCGCAAGCGCCGAGATGTCGAGGGCTGACCCAGCATACTGCCCGGCGACAAAGGCAATCGCGTGCAGTTGCACCGATGAAGCTGTCGTGACTTGGCCGCGAAGCCGCAGCGACGCGTGGTGGCGCCGCAACAGTGCGACGAGCGCACGCTCTTGGCTCTCAGTGCAGGCGTACGTGCCTTGAGAACACGAAGCAAACATGTAGCCGTAGGAGGCGACTGCACGCTTCTCGGATGCCTCGTCCCGCGCCGCTTCCTTCGCCGCGACGGCTTGGACTGGCAGCCGAAGCGCTGCCCTTATCGCGTCCATGATGGGTGGTATAAAATAGCGCTTCGTCTACCTCGCTTAGACTATGTGGAATTAAATTCCCATGATTTAATTTGACCCCACGTTGTGGTCGTTGGGCTCCGATCGTTTTCTTTGGACGCAATAAAAATATCTCGCAATTGGTAAGGAATCCCAGGAAACTTGAAGAAATTGAATGGAAATAAAAAACACCACAAGAATCGGCTCGTGGGCACGTACTTGCCTGCCATTTTCCCTGCCATTTTCGAAGGAGGTCAACATGGCAACGACGAACCAGCTCCAGGCGCGCATGCTCGATGTGATGAAGAACTCGGACGCTATGCTCAAGGAGCATGAAAAGTTCAACGGTGGCTGTGTCGTCACGCGCTTCCCGCCTGAACCCAACGGCTACCTCCACGTCGGCCACGCCAAGTCGATGTCGATGAACTTTAACCAAGCTTTCGAGACGCTTGGCGTGCCTGCGGACAAGCGCCGCACTATCTTCCGGTAGGGTCGCAAGGTGTTTCTTGTGCGAATGCCAGCAATACGTAGGTACGACGACACGAACCCGGAGGCCGAAAGCCAAGAGTACATCCAAGCCATTCGCACCAACGTCGACTGGCTCGGCTGGAAGCCATGGAAGACGACGTACTCGTCTGAGTATTTTGATCAGCTGTACGAATTCGCGATCAAGCTCATCAAGAAGGGGCGCGCGTACGTGTGCCACCAGTCCAAGGCGGAGATCGAAGCCTGCCGCAGCGTGCTCCGCGATCTTCACGGCCGCGTGGCGTCGGAAGGTCTTGTGCTCACGCCCGAGGTGCTGGCGGCTGCCGAGAGTCCGTTCCGCAACCGATCGACTGACGACAACTTGAAGCACTTTGAGATGATGCGCCGTGGCCAGTATGCGGAAGGCGCGGCGTCGCTTCGGCTCAAGATGCAGCTCGAGTCGCCCAACCCCAACATGTGGGACTTTGTGGCTTACCGCATCAAGTTTGTGCCGCATCCGCACATTGGCGACAAGTGGTGCATCTACCCGACGTACGACTACACTCACTGCATCGTGGACGCTCTCGAGCACATCGACTACTCGATCTGCACGCTTGAGTTTGAGACGCGCCGTGAGTCGTACTATTGGTTGCTCGACCAGCTCGACCTGTATAAGCCCATGGTTTACGAGTTTGCGCGCCTCAATATGACGTACACCGTCATGAGCAAGCGCAAGCTGCTCAAGCTTGTACGTGTCACCGAGAATGACCAGGAAATCAGCCATCGTGTATTTGCGTAGGTAACGAAGGGCGTTGTGCGCGGCTGGGACGATCCGCGCTTGAGCACGCTCAACGGTCTCAAGCGCCGCGGCTTCTCGGCACCGATCCTCAACGCCTTTTGCAAGGGTACGCAGTCTCTTCCATGGCTTGTAGCCGATTAAACTGCTGGTGTCTAGAGATTGGCGTGACGCGCACGCAGTCGACGATTGAAATTGACCGCTTGTACGCGGTTGCACGCAATATGCTTGGTGACGCGTCGGCGCGCGCGATGGCGGTGCTGGACCCCATTCCAGTACGATATGCTTGAGCTGGGTAAGCAATTCTTATGGCGAAATGGGTAGGTCGACATTGAGAACCCACTTCCTACGCCGCTTGTGTGCAATGTGCCGCTGTACCCGCAGGACAAGACGCGCACCGAAACACACGCGGTCCAGCTCACGCCGACGTTCTTCTTGGACCGGTGTGTTCAGCTGATTCTTTCACGGAAACTTGACGCCGATCTAGGTCGGACGTGCGGGCGACGGACGCCACCGACTTTTTCGGCGTTGCGCCGCAGAAGAGTGTGCGCCTCAAGTACGCGGCCGTCTTTACGTGCACGTCAGTCATCACGGATGCCGCGGTAGGTGTATCTACTTATGCCAGGGAATTGACAGGTGAAGTGAGTAGGGCAATGTTACCAAGGTCACGGGCACGGTCGACTGGTCGAACGAGAAGGGCCTGAGCCCGAAGGGCACGATGACGTGGGTGCCGTCAAACGCCCTAGAGTGCGAAGTGCGCGTCTACTCTCACCTCTTCACGGTCCCGGTACGCCGCGACGACGGGTTTGATATGGACGCTGAAAGTATGCTAGGAACTGGGTGCGGTGGATGACTGGGAGTCGCTCATCGATAGCAAGGGCAGCGAGAAGGTGTATGCTTCGGCCCGCGTCGTGAGTTCGGTGACGTCGGCCGCGCACCTTGATGCGTTTCAATTTGAGCGCATGGGGTACTTCGTCGTGGACCAAGACTCGACCAGCGCCCGCAAGGTGTTCAACCAGGTAGATTTCTCGTGCACATGCGTCCTGGACTAAAAATCTCGGCACTTGTGTAGATTGTGGCGCTGAAGGACGCTACGGCGGCCCCGGCCGTGTCCCGAAAGGAGGAGCAGATGCGCCAGCTCGCCGAGAAGCAGGCCAAGATGTCGCTGAAGCCGCAAGACATGTTTAAGACGCCTGCATACTCGGCGTGGGACGCAGAGGGCGTCCCGACCCATGACGCGGCGGGCACGGCTCTCACAAAGAGTGCGATCAAGAAGCTCCAGAAGGACTGGGCCAAGCAGAAGAAGCTGTACGAGGCGAACCTCAAGAAGTAACATGAAAGGCAATGCCCCGTGGTATCGTCTCTTAAAATGAAGTTCATATACTTGGCCGAAATGTCTATCACCGTCTTTTGACGGCGCGTTCATACATTTGTTAGGTTTAAACTGACTTCTTGGAGTAGGGGTGGAACACGAGCGCAGTCCCTTGGCAGTAGCCGATGCTAAGTGCTAGGACGACGGAAGCACCAAGGCCCGACAGGGCGGACCGGTGTACGAGGCCTCCTGACACGACTGCCCAAAGCATGCATAGCCACACGGATACAACGAAGCCGCGTGTTGTGTCGGTAGCAAGCGTCAGCGGCACACGATGAAGTCGCGAATCAAGCATTAGCTCGTCGTCGTCAGCGACAGTGGTGTTATCGTCGTCCTCTGATGCGCTTGGCGCCGACGCAGCTGCTTCGGTGATCTCGGAAGCTTCTGGTGACAAGTCCATGATGAGCGGCGTCGGCACTTCCGGTAGCTGATCCAGCCCATCGTCTCTGCAGCCGAACGAGCACTGAAGAATGTTGGGTAGGGATCCATGCCGCGTGAGCTCGCTCTGCTCGAACGATGGACGCCCTTCGTTCGAATCGCGGAATGGCGAGGGTGGGCGAAGGAACGCCGACGCCGAGAGGTGTGGCGACGTGTTGGAGCGTGCTAAGGGCGGTGCGCGGTAGGCATCTTTGGCATGGCAATCCTTGCAAAGCCGGCGCAGGCAGCTAGCGCACTTGCGCTTCTTGGCGAAAACGCTGATGCGGTGGCCGCACCGGGCGCATTTTGTCACCATGGCGTCGGTCGCAGCTTTGAACTGGCGAGGATGATGATGCAAGTCTAACCGCCTCGTATCCGGAAGTGTTACAGCACGTTCATTTCCGGATTCCGGATACTGGCGAGATAGCCAGAGTCTTGCACATCACAACCACCATCCCAAGCTAACAAAGACGACAACAACCATGGTGCGCTTTCCAAGCCTGACAGTCGAGGAGGGAAAACTCGTGACGAAGGGCCTCTTCTACGAGACAGGAGCTGGTAATATCAAGGTGTACCTCAAGTCGCTACCGAAGTACGCTCACAGCGATGTCCGCCTCCTCTTCGACAAGGAGATTGCACTTCACGACCAGTACAGTATATCGACATGTCCTTTCGCACCAACTTATCGTTGTGCGTAGGTTGCGTCATCCCAACATCGTCAAGCTCTACGACGCTTCGCCGTCCTCGTCCGAAGAACCGATCATGGTCTTCGAGTACATGGATGAGGGATCGCTAGACACGCACTTTGGCGGCGGCGCAAACTGCTTCGTGGGCGACCGCAAAGTCTGCATCGTGCGCGACATTGCCCAAGCGATCGCGTACCTTCACTACAATGATATGACGCACGGCAACCTCCTCCCGTCGCACGTGCTGCTGGACTCAGCCAAACCCACGAAACTCACGGGCCTTTGCTCCAACGAACAAGCCGACTCGCAGCTCGAAATCTCAGCCGTACAGCTCAATGTCGCCTCGTGCTTCTACGTGGCGCCCGAGGTCATCTTGGACGACGCAACCTACGACCCACCGGCAGACGTTTTTGCATTCGGCTGCTTGATGTGGTGCGTTGATATCGTGCAAGAGATCTACCCTACCAATGGTGGCGACGTCATCGAGTTTCGCCACATCATGGATTGGATTTCGTCCGGTGGCTTCGACGACGTGCCCCGGGAGTTCTCGCCTTCGTGCCCCGTGTGGTACACTGCACTCGCGAAGCAATGTATGCGATGCGACCCGAACGAGCGCCCCACCATTCAAAGTGTGTTGTGTCAATTCGGGGAAAATGCCCCATGATGTGTTTTCTACGATTCACTCAAGCTTTTGTCCTTACCTTTCGTTGCTCCGGAGATGTTTAGCATTACATCGCGAGGTCACTGCCAAAAGTTGTACTATTGCGAGTCACTATATAGCTCTTTCAGCAATATGTGTTACTAGTAGATAGGACAAACTCCAGCACATTCTAGTAGAACCAAAATGTGTACACTACAGTACGTAATATAGCTTCGTAGCACACATGAAACATGTTTATTATTTACTTCCGGTTAGCGGCATGTACTGGAGTTCTACGGAAGAGGCGTGTAGAAGCTGCCATCAAGTTCGTTGCGAACAAAGATGCCACGACGTGCAGGGCAACGGAAGTAATCAATGCCGTTCACAGATCCGTCGTGATTCCCAAAGGCGTCGCGCAGCTCGATGCCAATCCATACCCCATCGGCAAAGCGAGTCGGGCCAACGAAGCGAACGACACCCGAGTGCAAATTTACTTGCTTTTGCCCGACTACCGCGCTTCCGACAACGACGGACCGACCGACATCGATTCGTTGAAGCACGCGTGATGGTGGTGATGGCTTCTACAAGGTTAGAAGCTCGTTTGTTGAATTGTACGTTGTAACTTACATCGTTGTCAATGATGATAGGTGGGGGGATTGCATGCACTGACGTTGGCATCGCCCGGAGATCGTTGGCGTTGTAAAGAGACGCGATACGTGGCCGGCGATGTACAAAGCTCGCGTCGCCCCGGGTCTTACGAGGCGGATGACATCCTGGCAGGATCCGTCGGCGGTCATCTGCCAGCGTCGGTACGTGCAACATTGTCGGGTCGTAAAGAACCACTTTCTTTTTGGGGTCTACCAAACTTTGGATCAATTTGGTTCGATACGTGTTGTTGACATGCCCTACCTGGCCCCGCAATCAATAGCGTTGTGCGTTCAAGCGCAGAGTCGGAAACACCGCTGTGGTGCGAAACCAACTGAGGAGGGTCGGAAGCGATGCCAAACTTGAAGAGATGCCATGTCTCGGCATCGAGTTTCGGCGGCAGTTGGTCGTGAATAGGCTCGCGATGGTAGAAGCTGAAGGTTGGCGCCTCATCGATGATTGTCTCGTCGTTGTTGACGTCGTCACCCTCCTCGCGAGCGCATTTCTCGGGAGAGGGCGCGCCATTGTCGTCGCGCTTGTCGTCGTCTCTCTCCATCGACGTAGCATCTTCTTTGAGTACTGCAGTAGTGTCTTCATTGTTTGCGACAAGCGGTGCCGTCGCGATGCTGAGTTCAAGATCGCCGTCCGGCGTGAGCGGAATCCACGTCGACGGGAAGTTCACCTGTACCACCGGTAAAAATGTAAGCTATGGCGCACAGCAAAATTACCTCTCGTGAGATGCTATCCAGCGCGAGCTCTGTACTAGCGAGTGCGAGGCTTCCGCAGAGCACTTCAACATGCAAAGTTGCGCGTATCGCCGCTCGATGCAGCCGCAAGGTGACGACGCCAGTGGTGCCAACCCACTCTAAAACCGTTGCATCTTGAAGTGATGTCCCCGTGACCACTGCAGCCGTTGTTGGACGTCCGGGCGAGGTCACGAAACACTTTGCGCGAAGTCCGTGCTGCTGGAGTAGGCTCGCAAACACCTTTCGCCCATTGGGCAGGCGTACTTGACGGAAGTGTACGTGCAGGTCCACACCAAGGCTAGGTCTGCGCTCGTAGATAAGTGCTCGTGGTTCGGCAGCTATCGCGTCCAAAAGGCTCATACTGGCAGTTGCAGATTCTGAAAATGGATCGCTGAGAAATCCAGGACGCAGGCGCTTTGCACCTCCGACTGAACTCGGAAATACCAGGGAAAATTAGGATCTAATCTTGTGTAGAATAGATTGAGTTCTTTAAGTCAGGTTAGTAGATTGAGATTCACGTGGAACTTCAAGAAGATGGCTGAGATTAACAGCACGATCAAGATATTATGAGTCCAGAGCTGATCTGAAGAGAGAAGCACACGAATAAAGCTACTGGTGTTCGAGAGTTTGGCTGCTACTTGGCTCATTGCCACTGCCACTGCCGCAGCTTGAAGGAGTAAGGGGCGTCGGTTGCTCATCCTTTTTTGCGTGAAGTCTGGCCTTGTAGACTTTTGTTGCGATTTGTGGCACCAGACTCAGCTTTGTGAGCAGCGCTATTACATTGCACGTTGTACAAGGTATCACCGTGACATTGCTGCGACCTTGGTGAGTTGAATTGGCAGCGTTCAGTTGGCTTCGAAAGACGTCTTCCGTGGTGGTGGCTGCGGCCAGTTCCAACTTCAAACGGGCGCATCGCTTCTCAAGCGCCCTAAAACGCGACGCATTCGATATTGAAGCTACTTGCGTGGAGTCAGAGGTATATATCAACCGGGTAGTAAACCGCTCTTGGTCCAAGTCCGCCTTCGCTTCGGCCAACGATAGCTTTTCATGGGCCTACGAGAAGCTGTGGTATCGATATTGAAGTGATTTCGACGAACAAGCAGCTTCTCATGCAGCTCGATATCTTTCTTGACGATTTCTTTGGCGTCTGGCCGACCGCGTGGCCACCCAAAGTTTAGCGAGATTCCAAGGCCCTGGAAGCCCAACAGTAGGATGTGCTCTACACGTGTCTTAAAAACGCACCTTGCGGCTTCTTGCTGGCGCATCGTCGGTGTGCAGTCGTGCGATCGTTTGTTCCAGAGCAAACTGATCGGCGATGGACTCTTCTCGGACTTGTAGCTGCAGCAAAATCGTCTTTTCCAGCCGCATAATTGTAGCTAGAAATGCAAGGTCAGCTCAGTGTTCAGAAGTGTGTGACAGATGATACCTTGGTAGTTGAGCTGCTCGAGCTCAAGCTGGTCCGCCAGCTCAAACACCTCATCGCCCTCGCGTTCGAGCTCGAAAAGGGTATCGACGAGTTCTTCGGAAATGGACTCGGCGGCCGCCAATTGAATTTTCGCAATGGCAACGCTTGGTGCCATAGCTTCATCGGCCTTGACCATGACATCAAGCACGTCAAAGTCATTGGGCCACGCTGCTGAATCGTCGAGCGCACTTGGGGGCGAGTGGAGAACCCACTTGACGAACTTGTCATATGACGCCAATGCCTCGGAAGGCGGTTCGTCCTCCAAGAAGCAACCCATATCGGGGCCGCCGCAGTCCATTCTTGCTTGCTGTGCCGACAGTTTCAGCGTCAAAATAAAATGGGAAAGGCCGATTATGGTGATCCCGACATCGTCCAAATAACAGTACGGAAAGTGAGGCTTCTGCAAGCCCCAGGCACTAGTCACAGTTCCTCGCTGCAGTTGCATAATATTATTTCAAGACACTTGTCGTGTTTAAATCGAATCGAGGCACGGCTCCTCCGTCGAAATTGCAGGCGTCGAGGTGGCGCACAACGTCTGGCAGGATTTTGCAAATGGCCAACAGGGGCAGCTGCGAGCGCACATGGCGTAACATAGACTTTGCGGGAGTGATGGTGACAAACTGGGGTCTACATAGATTTCTGTGGGTGACCGTGTCCGATTTACCGTAAATAGCATAGAACATATCGATATGTCTGCAATGTCCACCCCCCCCGTGTACCATGATTCATGCGACGATATGGCATCAAGGCTCCACAGCGGGTTGGATGTCAAGACGAACGCGAAAGGGGCAACAAGGGCATCCTCCGTGATGTTGTTTGAGCGTCAGAGGTAGAGATAATGGCAGTGCCGTAATCACAGTTGAGGCCGGGCTGAGGCATACTTCTCAGTGATGGCACCATCGACGACTGCGCATGCGTAAAACATAACTAGTATGTTGGTGAGTACGGACAGCTGGTGTTGGATTTACTAGGTATGCATACGTTGACAAGGTTTGACCAGGCCACTGCGGACGGAATTGAGCTAATGTTACAGCGATCGATTGAGAGCGACACAAGTGGCAGTGGTAATTGTAAAGGGCTCGAGGCAGCTACATATTGCCTCACATGGTACACGTACTAGCTTGCATGACCCAAGTAGTACCTCTGTTAGAAATGAGTTTCGCAGACAAACACTTGAAGCGAACCGAGCGGCGGTGCGTTTACGTTTCTCGTCCAGCTTGTCATGTGGGTAAATTCCAACCGGAGACTTCGATGTTATTTCAAATGACCGGGTGAAGACAGGTCGAGTCCCCTCGATAGTGTGCATTGAACGATGTAGAGAACGGGTATAGTGGGGTTAATACCTTCAATGCGTCGTTAAGCCTTCCATACACGATCTATGTGTGCATGAACATGACCTCAAGTGGGCTCGCAATATTCATCTTGAGGCAGTGGAGCTGCAGGAGCATGTAATACATGTAGCAGTCACAAGCGAGAAATCAAGGTGCTGTGTTGGTGAAACACCCGCTGAAGCACATCGGCGGACTTGTCAAGCCCGCAGACAAATAGCACGATCACTCGTAAAACGTATAGCACAAAAATCCCGTCAAGATGCACGCGTCGACGCTCACGAAACAACACATAAGGGTTTCGACCGAGAGGTGCCAGGCAAATCCCTTTTGAAGTATCGGGAGGCGAGCCGCGGATGAAGTACGTACAAGCAATTGCCGGTTGGTGGTCGTCTTGCTAGTTTGGAGGTGCTGCAATCGTTCGAATGCTGTCTAGCTCGGTA